CTGCTGGCTATCGAGGCTGGGCAGCTGCAAGGACACTCTGCTGGGTGCTGGGAGGAGTTCTTTCAACAGGTTGTGACACGCATTCAGCGCAAGTGGAGGCCATGTCGCCGGACTCAGGTCCTTATCAGGCCGCCGAGCGTGTTGTCAAACGTGTTTCAGGCGCAGACAAGCGGAACGGAAGCGACTACAGGAACAAGGAGGCCACAACTTGAAAAAAAAGGTTTGTTTTTAAAAGGACTGTCCAGGGTGTGGCCGGGTTTGAGGTAGACTTGCCAAGTGCAGGTGATGCAGCACTGCCAGAGCCGGCACCGCATCAGGCCATCGCTCCAAGAAGTCAAATCAAATTGTGAGCAAATTTGTCGACCTGAGCGAATTTCACCGCAAGGTGGAGGTGGACAGGCAGGAGCTGGAATCTGCTTCTCGGCAGATATTCGCTGTTTGCTCCCGTCAGTTCGCCTTAGCATGGAGCTGGTGGCTAAAGGCATTGCGAAAATTCTCGTCTGCCTTCCCTTGGGAGCGCTTCTTCCAGATAACTTTGTTGGTCAACGTCTGCGTCAGCATGTGGCTGGGTTTGAATGAGGGCGTTGCAAGCTTTGCGAGCCTCACTGCGCGCTCGGTCCCTGGGAGGCTATGCTCCCTACCGGAGGTGATACCGGAGGACTCGCAATGCGAGGTGATGTCTCCCAAAAGAATTCAAGCTAAGTTCGAGGCTGGAAATAGCGATGCATGGCTGATTGTTTCGATTCTCAACAGTTTCTGCAAAGGCAGCTTGCCTTGTGGTTTTCGGCGTGGAGCTGGTCCTCACCCTGCGGGCTGGCTCAGGCCGCGCCCAGGCCGCTATAAACCGCTTTCTGCTTTTTTTTTGGGGGGGATGGTGGTGGTTGTTGTCACATTGCTTGCTTTCCTATAAGCCGAGTCAGTCCTAGCCACGACATTTGGACTTTGCTGAGGTGAGGGAAAACGATGGTACGCCTATCGTGCTGTCGCCCCTTGGCAAGAATCGTGACTCGAAACGGCTTCATGTGGCTTGCATGCTGGAAATGAATGCGATTTGTTGCAAGGATTTTATATGTCTTTTGCCTGGATTAGCAACGATTCTGACCGTGGCGTACGAAGTCAGAAGCGCTGGAACCGACTGCGGGAAAGACCACCATTTGCCAGCCCCCAGCTCGTTTGAGGGGAGCAAGATGGAACAAGGTCATGAATTGTAGACGTTGTGGCCCGGCAACACTTGGATTCATAGTGGCCAGGACCGAGTTCTTCGACCAACTGGACATGTTGTTGACAGCCCTCAGAATGTGGCCAAACTGCATCATAGCACAGAGTACAGGACATTGCCTAGAGCTTTGCAGCGGCTTCGGATGCGCTGAGGATCCGGGTGCTGCGTGTTCTATTTTGGCGCCAGTGGAAGGAAGACGCTTCTGGTCGGCATTTGCTTTCATGACAAAGACCCGGTACCTTTTACGTCCTGCACACCAGGCAACAGTGCAGGGGGCAAGGCTGCACATGCTACGCCTTGCATAGCTACAACATGATCATTCGCGCAAACATAAAGAGGGGGCAGCCTGGGATAGATGCAGGGCCTGCAAACGCACTCACTTGTTCGAACCCCGCCTGACAAAAAGCGGACACGGGTTGTGTTTACAAAGCCTGAATGCAGAACACGGTGGCAACCTGAGACACCGGCCTCGACTTGCCTGAGGTCGCAGTTTCGCCGCAAGAAGCAGAGGTGATCGATTCAGTTCATGCAAACAAGCCCTCGGGCAATCCAGACTGTTGACGGGAAACGTTCCCAGAGCGCAAGCATGGAAAGCCCCCGTATCTTTCCTGTGAAGCCACAGCTGTCAGCCTGAACTGCTCTACTTCTGACTGGGAGAATTCGCTGCTCACAAGGTTCAAGTCTTCATTCGCGGCGTGACTTCCACAGGCTGATTCTGCGGTTGTTGTGACTGTAGGAGCGACGAAGCAAAGCCGCTTTTGCCCATTGCGTTGCAGGCCCAATTCTTGCTGTCCGTGTCTTAGTAGTGAGTCCGTGAGTTTCCCTCGTGCTGGCACACATCCACATCCGAGCTGATGGCCTTGTCCTGCGAGGTGCCAGTCTTCATGTCCCTGCAAATATGGGTGGTGATTTCCAGCTTGTTTGTGTTCACGGAGAACACCTGGAAGTCACCTACGAAGGCATCCTCTGGTTCTGGACAGCTCTGCAGCTTTTGAGGGTCTGCGTGCATTTTGCAATTCTTGAGGACTTCTTCAAGTCCGTGCCGTCTGCCATGTACTGGACATCTTCATTTCTGATAGGACACCGCAAAGACTGTGATGTGAGTGATGTAAGAGTTTTGTAAGGAAGATGCATGACCACGAGGAAAGAATTAACAAAGCAGGAGAGTGGACTTTGGCAGACTTCTCTTCGGGGGCTGGCTCCAGAGCCCCAGGCTAAGAGTTCGATTCCAACACATCTCTGTCGCGCTTTTCCAAAGCAGTTCATCATCACATACTCTGAATTTTGCAGAAGGCAAGTGCATGTTGTGCGAGGTCTGCATCTTCACAGCCTTGTTTGGTCTGAGCCTCAAAAGTCTCACAACGAGGCTCAGGCTTCCCAGCCATGAGAGAACTCAGCTCTGCAGCATGTTCCGCCTAGGCATCATGGGCTTTGTGGAAGCCCTGGATCCTTAGGAGGATTAGATTGGCTCAACTCGTAGTCTGCTTGTGCATAAGGCCATCCCCATGGGCATTCTCATGGAGGCTAGTTCTTCTAACATGCCCTGACACAGACCCACAAGGGCTGCTAGATGTTGCTACATCTGACATGCCCGTGTCTTCGTTCTCCTGGCAGGGTGTCAAGCAGTCGATGGTTGTTGACATGATGGAGTTTCTTGCTCGGGGACATGCGCTTTGGTACACGTCCCGCCAAAGTCGCAAAGATGTTGGATGTGTTCTGAGGCGCTTACCTTTGAATCAACTTGCGGAATATGAGGACAGCAAGGCCTGTCATAGTCTGAGGCACTGAGCGAGATACTAAGTGTGCTGCTCTTCAGGCGAAAGGAGCTAAGCGTCGGAGCCTTGATAGCCCTTTCCCGTCCAGAAAGCATGGATAGGTCTTTGAGGGTCTGAGTGACGGTAGCTTTCGAGGAGTTTCTCCGGGTTTCGGGCTTAGAGATGAGTTGATTGTTGGTGCGGATATGGTCAAAGTGGACGGGTCAGCTTAGGAAGGTGACGGAGCCATCCTGAAAAGAGCCACAAGAGCTCCGTGTGTGAGCTGGAAACCTTGTTGGTCCAAGGGATCATAATAACGGCGCTGCAGGGGGCTGACGGGTGGCTACCCTGCCAAGCGAAGCTTAGTGTAATTCACCAGGATATCACAAGATGCACTTGCTTGTAATAGTTCGCATGCCATTTTCCAGCAGCGTCGCGCACGTAATCAAAAGTTCTATACTGCGTTCCCCCAGTGTGTGTGTGTGTGTGTGTCATCCTC